AGTGGTTCCTATTTTCCCCAGTGAAAGGTTTTCTTGGTTCTATCTTCCAATTTTTCCCATAAACCTTTTAAACTTTTATATACATTCCTAAATAAATATTTCATAGCTAGTATTCGCTCATCAAACTCTTTAGGTATCTTCTATTCCTCCTAACATTTGCCATCTTCAGGATCCTTTTTTATGGCCCTAGAATGCCAATACAAATTTTAAAATAACTGGATCTAAATTTTTGTACATTTTATTAAATAGCATACAGCACTTAGGATATTTGGTTAACTGAAACAGACGATAACAGATAGTATCAAAATATCCAAATTTAGTTGGTCTGGATTTCATAATTTGTACAGAACTCAGTAAATTCCAGCTTTACCTTGTGGTCCAAATTTGCCTCTTCATTTCATCCCATCATTTGAAACTCCTTTGCGGTGCAGCTCTTATTAAGCAGAATTTTGATAAGGAAATGTAAATGATACTGGAAACTAAAATCTCAACTATGATAACACAGAATTGAAGAACCAAGGAAAAACAAAGGAGAGATAGGTTGTTGGACCTCAGAGGTTGAAGAGACTTCTTAGTATTTTAAAGCTTTATCTAAACAAGTTTGTTTTTAGGAAGGAAACATTAATGAGGACATATTCTTACCTATTTAGTTTAAATAGTACCACTTTAAAATTTTTCAAACTAGTGCCTCAACCTCCCTAAAGTTCCCTTCCTAAACAATACCCTCTTACCTCTCCATTTTTCTCATTTATTCAGTACCTATTTATTGCGTTTCTATGGTATAAAATATTTGGGTGAAAGAGAGATGAATAGGACGCGATTCTAAGGGGCACACAGTCTACTAAGGGATTTAAACCATGTACATTACTAAACTATTACATATAGGTGCAATATGATAAGTCCTCACAAAAAATTTTCGAATTTTACTACAAGTCTGACACAATCAGAAATGTAAGGTTTCCATGTGGATATTCTTTGGAGCTCAACTGTTTTGACATATTTTGATGAAGAATGAATTCTTTCTTATAAGGTTATGTCTTAACACTGACAAATTTCAGTCTAGTCAAATGAATGGCAATGTCCTTACCAAGTTGTCCTGTTCAAGAATTAAATAAGTATCCAAAATTTCCCTAGGCTATTCTTACTTAAGAGACACCAGCCATCAACAATTTCTAAGCACTACAAGCTGAAAGAAATACAAAGTGGTATGGGTTCACACGGTAGGAAGTGAAAGAAATGAGGTTAGCCCCAAAATAAATCAGAGAGACAGAGAAAGTAAGAATTAAAGAAATAAAATGTTGAAAATACCATCTATAGCACTGACACTATATATTCAAGATGTTTAAGTTTACAGCTTTTAGATTTATCACAGTTAAATGTAGATGAAACAGGAAAGAAATTAGCAAATAAAGTAAACTCTTAATTCAGAGAACATTAGCATTTATCTAAAGGAGACTAATGTCAAACTTATTTTGTCATTCCTTGATTTTCTCTTGTAAAAAGCACTACCCTTATATTTAATTTGAAATCACTTGGTTTCTAAAATTTCAAGCCTGAACCCATAATGAAAACTAAATTATGAGAATTAGAAATTTAATAATTTAGGAATTTAATAATTTATTCACAATCTTCCTTCTATTTACTAAAGGATAAAAATAACATCAAGCAAGAGTTCCACTAAGTTCACTGGATTCTGATAGACAAAGTATACATCCTAGATTTGGATGGGTTAGCTTTATTTTATTTATTTATTTTTTTTGAGACAGAGTCTCACTCTGTTGCCCTGGCTAGAGTGAGTGCCGTGGCGTCATCCTAGCTCACAGCAACCTCAAACTCCTGGACTCAAGCGATCCTCCTGCCTCAGCCTCCCGAGTAGCTGGGACTACAGGCATGCGCCACCATGCCCGGCTAATTTTTTCTATATATTTTTAGTTGTCCAATTAATTTCTTTCTAATTTTAGTAGAGACGGGGTCTCACTCTTGCTCAGGCTGGTCTCGAACTCCTGAGCTCAAACAATCCGCCCGCCTCGGCCTACCAGAAGCTAGGATTACAGGCGTGAGCCACCGCGCCCGGCCTGGATGCATTAGCTTTAGAGTTTGTTATGGTAGTCAAACCATTACAGTGGTTATTAGCAGTGTGGAAAAGTTTCTCCTACTTTTCCTTTTTAATTTTTTTTCAGTTATTCTTTGATATGATATAGTAGTCAGAGAATACTCCACAGGGTCAGTGCTGGAACATTACTATTTTGGACTCATGTGATCCCTATCCCAAAACACACTGACATTCTGAAGTGGTCAATGATTCTTATTGGGCAGTGGGTTACATAACAAGAGACAGAGACACTAAAACTTAAAAATAAAAAAAAGCATACTATGACAAATGTATATAACAGAAAAAATTCTCTTAAAAAAATTAAAGGAAAGACACTATAATATTTATTACATAATCGATTATAATACAGAAGTTTCTCTTTATTTACCAGAATTCAGTAGTCATTCACAGAAAAATTCAAACTAGTTTGAAAGAGAACTTCAAATATCAAACATGGAAAACTGCTGAAAGAAGTAATTACTCAAACTATAGCAAATACTTTTTTTTCCTGAGGAAAATATTTATAGCAAACCCAAAAGAAAAAACAGGGAAAAAAAAGAAAGGAAGAGATATGGTCTTCTAACAATCCTGGAAAGACCAAATGTTTGTGAAAGCCTATCTTTCAAAACTTGGACTTCTAAAATGAGTTAAGAAAAGACCTAAATTTAGAGAGAAAGGGGCTCACATGTCATAACGGAAATCCAAATTTACAGAGAAAACAGGAATATAGTGCCAATCTAGGTCAAATCTATGATGTACAGTTTTTCATAAAGTTTATACAGGTTGAGTATCCCTTATCCAAAATGCCTGGGATCAAAACTGTTTCAGATTTGGGATTTTTTTTAGATTTTGGAATATTTACATATACATAATGAGATATATTGGGGATGGGACCCAAGTCTAAATATGAAATTCATTTATGTTTCATGTATACCTTATACACATAGCCTGAGGATAATTTTATACAGCATTTTTAATGATTTTGTGTATGAAACAGAGTTTTGTCTGCATGAGGACAGTGACCCATCACACGTGGTCAGGTTGGAATTTTCCTCTTGTGGAGTCATGTCAGTATTCAAAAGGTTTTGGATTTTGAGCATTTTGGATTTCAGAGTTTTGGATTAGGGCTGTTCAACATGTATATTCTATGCAAGAATGTTCCTGGCATTTATGACTATTATATATAATTAAACATTTCCCTTATAAAAATTGATTTCAATATTTTAGTAAAAAAACTCAACCTGGAAATACTACCATAAGAGCGATCAACAATTTAAAATTAAACTTCATAGCAACAGGATGTTAAATATTTGCTGATTGTCTACTTATACTACCATATCTTAACTCGCCAAATAGCAACTTACTCTTCTGATTTTCTTCCGTTTTTTAGAACGTGGTCTTGTTTCTATCCTCTGGACACTGCAACGCACGAGTAACAACAAGTCTTGCAGACTAAATAACTTATAAACAAAATTTCCTTCCTGGGGAGCTAGATATTCCGATGTATCTTCGACATAGTCCTGAAGTTCATATGGCAATCCTTTAAAAATAATATTTCTCATTTTTATTTTAAAATACATTAGCTCTTTACCCACTATAAAATAATTCAGTTAACTATTTTTAAACTTCTATCAACTTTAACTTTCTACTTCCTCTGCCTAATTAACCCTCACACCATTACCATTTCTGTTTACTTTTAGTGGAACTGCAGTGAGAGCTGAAATCCAAACTTTACATTTCTTTTCCTTTTAACTATTACCTTCACTAACTCTAGGCAAAGTATAAATTAGTGAGACAGCATATCATGAGAAGAAAAAACACAGTTTAAAAAGTAATGTTATAACTAATCTAGGGAGAGCTAAGGATATTTATATTTCACAAAATTAAAACAAATTGAAACACACAAAACTGCAGTCGAACACCAAGCGTAAATTTTGGATTGATCAATGTGTATGGTTATTTTTGATGCACTTACTCTTCATCAATTTGGTGAGCCACGTTACCTATAGCTTAGTAGCCACTGTACATGTTGGATAAACATAGGTAACAAAACCCAAATACCCTTGGGCACATATCTATTATAAAGAGGATATTTTAGAAGCTAAAATACTGATCAATAGATGGATAAATGAAATATCAGTGACTATGTAAAGATTACAAAACAGGTTATGACAAAGAGAAAGTGAAGGAATGAGGGAGAAATATCTAAGGAAATGGAACAGATAAAACAGTATAAGTTCCTTTTAAATATTTACTTACGTCCTTTTGGCTTCTGAAATGCAGAAGGCCATGCAGATTTTGGCCAATTGGAGGCATCTGAAGGAGCAGAGAGTTGCTCAGAAACAGAAGGCTGTTTAGAATTTTCTAAATTCATCAAGGGTAATTCAGGTACTTTTCTGGAAATTGGCTTTAAGAGCTCATCTTGCATTTTTAAAATCTCTCCAACTGGATCAAATTTTTTATACACTCGTTTGATAGGTCTTTTTAAAACACATGATTCTTCTGGACTACAAGTAGTATTAGTCTGGTTTCCTACAGATGCCTGTCCTGAGGAAGAATTTGGGCTAGCTGGTTTAGAGCTTAAATTAGAACCCACAACAGCTGTCTTTCCATTATTATTATTATTTTTACACTCTGTATCAATGATTAAACAGTCCTCGTCTGTATCACTATTGCAAAGAATTACATCTTCAGTTTTAGCTGCTTCTGATGTAACAGTTTTTTCCTTTGAGTTGTCTATGTTTTCTAGAACATTTAGTCTTTCATCATTGGCATGTACCACATCTGTAGTCATATCAGTTTTATTAGAAATTTCAATTTCCTTAGAACTTCTTAACTGCAAGGCCTCAGATGTTTTCAAGTCACTATCTTGCATCAATGACTTGTCAGAATTTGACACCTTTTCACCACATGATTCACCTTCCTGATCATCTTTATTTTTGCACTCTTCGGCGCCACCCTCCATACCAGTGACCAGTTCTTTCTCCTTTTGCAATTGTTCCATCAGCATCTGAGATAAACTTCTAGAATTAGCAGAAATGTCTGGTGCACTTGGTGCCACAGGTATAGCTGTTGCTTTGGGGGCTGTGGGAGTATTTGTCATGTTGGGTACTACAGAAGTATTTGCTGGACTTGGTGACTTTGATGGATTGCTGGTGGTTACTCCAAAAGTTTCAAGTTCTGTGACATCATCATCGAAATCCAGATCCGAATTTTCAAGAGTCTCAATTTTTCGGCACTCATTAACTTCATAGGATGTCTTAAAAAATATATTGGTAAATAATTAATAAAAATTTCAGGCTGTCCTCTCCTATCTCTTAACATCCCTATCTCTCTCATACATAGCTCATGCTCTTTAAAAGCATAAAGAAGAGTCTAATGGCTCTAAAATGTTCTTGCTTAAAAAGACAACAAACTACTAGCAACTGTTTAACCTTACCTTTCTATTGAAATGTTCTTAAAAACAGACACATTTGCCAAAGTTGTAACAGCACAGGAAACAGGGAATACTTGTGAACTACCATATCCCAAGAGGAATTTCTGCTAGTCAAAAATAGACAAGATCACAAAGAAGAAATGTAGGGCCAAAACAGGAAGGCAGTAGGTTTTCATTTATGCCTTTTCTGTATACTCTTGCAGAGACACCATGGCTTACCTGAGCAGGAAGAAAGCCCCTCTCTGCCACTGTGAGGAAACCGCTTTCTAATGCAGCCAGAGAAATGTCGCCAGCCTCTAGTGCATCCCTAACATCAGTCAGTGACTTTCTTAACACATCTACTGAGGGAAAACAACTCTCAGTAATAAGAGATGGGGCAGAAATGAACAGGAAGTTTATTTCATTCTGGGACATGAAGTCATTAAGGTTGTAGTTTTTCATTTACTGTTTTGATAATGGAAGAACTACACACAGCTTTAATTTACTCAGGAATAAATTGTCCCCTCTACAAGTAGACAAGCACCAGAAGATCTCTCCTCAATCGAGCAGAGCACTTTAGATAAATAACATGGGAATGTGGTGATGGGTTATCTACACCCATACAACTAGATCTGAGAGAAAGATTCCAACAGCAGTCAGGCAACAGGTAAGAAAGATCAACCCATGTAAGTTATTTAACCTCTCTGAACCTCAATTTCCTCATCTCTAAAATAGGTATAATAGGGTCAGCTTCTTGGATTTGTTCTAAACAGTAAATGAGAAATTATATATAGAAAGTCTCTTCTTGGCATAGTGCCTGGCACATAGTAAGTAGCCTCTCTGTAAACGGTCACTCCTACTGAAATAAAGACTATAAAATTTAGTAAAAATGTAAAATTATACTATATGCTGCTTAAATGAGGTATTCCTACACAAAAAGATTAAAAACAAGAGATGCCATCAAGAAACAAAAAGAGGAGGAATAGCAATATAAGTATTAGACAAAGCAGAATTCAATAGAAGAAGTATTAGATAGAAAAAGGAGGAATACTATGTTAAAAAAGGATAAAATCCAGATAAATAGATAATGGTCATGAATTGTGACATGCCAAATAACAATATCAAAATATATAGTCAAACTGAAAAATAAATGGAAAATTTGAGAGAAACACAATTGTACTTGTGTTAATGATACACTCTAAGTAAAAATAGGGATATATTAAGTATGAAAAATATTAAATGATGGAAACTAATATACATGAAAGATTGAAAACACATAGGCAAATAAACTACAAACATATACCTTTTCCTTCCCCAAAATCCAAGGGGCATTTCTAAAAATGGACTATAAATTAATATACAAAGAAAATCTCAATATAGGGCAAAGCAGAATCTGCTAAGGTCTTACTCTCTGTTCAGAAGGAAGCAAAATTAGAAATCACTAAGAAAAATTTAAACAAACAACAATAAATCCAAGCACGTGGAAATTTAAAAACATTCCAAATTGTTAAATAAAAGAAGAAATCAAAATGATAGTCACAGAATACTCAGAAAGCAACAATTAGAATACTGGACATTAAAAATCAGAAATATCATAATTTGAGGCTCAAAATGACATTATCTTCCTCCAAGAATTATTTTCACTACTTTTCCTAGGTGTATGGAGACACTAGCAATCCGAAAGCATTTTACTTGAAGTTCAGGGCCTGAAAACTCAGGCTGTAATTATAGTCTCTGAGAAAGCTGATTTATTTCTGGTTCACCCTTATTCCTGGGGTCCAAGCCCTTGGTGGAAAACTGAACTCTGACTTTTGTTCCCCTAGTCCTGTGATTCTGCCAAAAGCACAGTTGATTTTCTCAGTTGCCTCTTCAGAACTGGCAAATATTATCCAGGGCAAAAAGATCCCAAGCTTATCTTCTGAATTCCTGTCTTCTTTAGAATCTCAGCCCTGTAATTCCTCGCTATCTTGTTAGCTCTTTAATGCTTCTAAGAAAGACATTTTTACATCTCATCCAGCTTTTGTAATTGACATCATAATATGAACGTTCATAATATGTCCAAATTACCTGGTCTACTATTACTGAAAGGAGTCACTGTCACTTTTTATTCCTCTTAACCTGCCTCATGTTTTTTGAAAAATTAATTAATTAATGAGATGAGGACTTGCTTTGTTGCCCAGGCTGGAGTGCAGTGGTATAATCATGGCCTTGAACTTGAACTTCTGGGCTCAAGTGATCCTCCTGCCTCAGCCTCCCCAGTAGCGGGTACTACAGGTGCACACCACCGTGCCCAGGCCCTCGTATTCTTTATAGCACTTGTTACCTCCTGACATTCATCTCACACCAATATGAGTTTTTGGTAGATTTTAAAAAGTAAAATGTATAAGAAGAAAATGTATGAAAAGTTGGAACTGCTTTCTTAAAAGGCAAATGGCAAATACAGAAAAACATAAACAAATACAAAAGGTCAATAACCTTAAAATTGAATGAGCTCATTTTTATATTTTATTTTTAAATTTTGCTTGCTTCCTCTCTTTATTGAAATCTCTGTTTATATGTCCTGTCCTCAGAAAGGTAATCTTGATCATGAATATAAAATAGCCCCATCCCCACCCCTCTCCCTATTTCCTCTTAACCTACTCCATTTTTCTCCATAGCATTATCACTAACTACTTTTTTGCTGTTGTTTTATTAAATATCTGCACCCTCTGCCACTAATGTAAGCTCTGAGAGAAAAGAGATTTTGTTTTTATTCACTGCTTTATCCTCAGTACACAGAACAACACCTACTTAATAAAAATTTGTGGAATGAATAAATCAAGTTTTTGATAAACAATGTCTTTAATAATCATTGAAAAAATATTTTAAAACACACAGAATAATAAAACCTATTATTTATAGAGTGTCAAGTGTCACTCTAAATGCTTTACATGTGTTACCTCATCTAAACCCAAACAATCCTATGAGTTAGGTAATCATGATACCCATTTTACAGATGAGCAAACTAGACATGGAAAGATTATATAATTTGCCCAAGGTCATACAGTTACCAAATATACTGAAAAGGATTAACAATCTGGCCAAACATTTTCTGTACTAACCAAATTAAGCTCATCTGTTCCTGTTTACACTGAACAACTTTTGAATATGAATGAGACCAATGAAACAAAACCTCAGATTAACCCATTAGCATGACTACCATCATCATTGACTGAGTTTTTAGTACACACATACTAAAAACTGTGCTCAGTATTTTATATGTAATACCAAACTTAACCCTCAACAACAACCTTGTGAAGTAGGTATTAACACCCTTCCTGTATGAAAAGAGAAAACTGGGAGGAATAAAAGGAAAAAAAAAAAGAAAGAGAAAACTGAGGCTTAGGGAGATTAAGTTAGTTGCCTAAAGTCTAGCTAGACTTGAAATTCAATCTTAAGTTTGAATCTAAGGCCTGTATTTTTAATTATTAGGCTTAGAGACTTGCAATAAAACTTTAGGCTTCAAAAGGATAAAAAAGTACATTCCCCTAAGGAAAAAAAAACACACTACATACATCCATTTCAGATATACACTCTTCAGGTTTGTCCATAAATACTGCAGAGACTGGAACAGATGTGTTTTTGGACATCATGAGTTTTAATGGAACTTCATGAAACATTTGATTTCTCTCTCTCATTGTCATTTTCTTTTGGGGAAGTGGTGAATTAATATATATTACTTTAATTGGTTTTGAACCTTAAAACAGAAACAGAAGAAAAGGGGTGATTAGTATCTAATAGTCATATTTTTAAAAAAAACAGGATGTATGAAATAAGGATCACTAAAGAGACATAGGACAGGACAGTAGTAGCACACGTCCCACATATTTGCCACCATTGGACTAGAAGATTTTAAAGTCCCTTAGAAATCTAAGGGCAAGAGAATCCAACTGGCAGGAGAAATATGTTCTCTTTCTAACAATGTTTAAAAAGGATTTTCTGTTTTTTACTGTTATAGTCTTACTGCCATTGTTACTCAGTCCTTATATGAACTTGCAAAAAGTGATGAAATTTTTACCATCAAGAACATATTATTAATACATTTAACTCTAATTTGTAGTTCTGTTTCATTAGATGTAGTCTTTTATTTATTGTATTTATGTTGTAATATATAGTAATATTAATTCTGGAAGATATGAAAAAAATATATAAACCTTAACAATAGGGGGAATAATTTTTTCATATAGAGGAATTAATGTGCAAATATTAATTTTATTGTCAAAAGAGAGACTATCCCACTGCTTATAAGTACAGACTTACTGTAATTCTGAATTCCAATAAAAGACAAATAAGTACTAGAAACTCACCCATTTGAGGTTGTCTAATAAAGTACTGCATTCCTTTCATTTCAGTGAAAGACAGAACCTCACCATTTCATGTATTTTTGGCCACCTTAGCGCAGTTACTTCTCTCTTACCCCCCAACATGACTTCAGGTACTATAGACCTAATCATTCATTTAGAAGTATCAATTTTATAGTAGCTTTATATATGAAAAAGTTCTACTGAAGGTAAATGTCAAATTTACATCCTCCTTAAATCAAGACTTATATTTTTGTTTGACAAATGACCACCTATGTTTAGACAGCTGAAGTGGAACTATTCCAACCCCTTTTTCGGAGTATTACTTGACATAGCAAATGACAAACCTGTGACAGGTATTATTTGAATACACACTGGAATTTCCCACTGTTCCTTGTAGTTTGGTCCATGATTATTTAATAAGGTAAATAATGATTGACTAGTTAGAGCTATCTGAGGGTGGTATCTTGAAACAAGCTTCTCTGCATTTGGATCTTTACTAATATCCTGAAAAACAACACATAACTTGTTACTTGGTTATACTTATTGAAAATTTCTTTGGTAAAGTAATAAAAAGAATGAAGACAGTCAGAAAGGGCACTTTAGAACAATCAGGTTATATGTACTTTGTGAGGTATAAAAGATTATTTAGGAAGATCCAAAATCACCTTGGTACTTACATAATGCATAGCTTCAGCTGTTTGTTCTGGTGTTTCAACGGTAGCTGTGTTATCTTTTGAGAGCTGCAATTTTGCAGGCATTGAGGGAAATACTGTTTTCACATATTTTACATTGCCCTAAATTGGAAAAAAACAAATCACTTTACTATAAAAATTCTCATGTATTTTTTTCTGAGAAAAGTATCCTTCATAATACAAAACTCTTAATTGAAACTTATTCTCTAAATGCAAATGTCAAATTTAGAACCTCTTTAAGCCAAGATATTCATGTTTTTACTTGACAACCACCACCAATGTTTTGTTTTTTTAAAAAAAAGATTCAAGAGAAGGGTTTCATAGAATTTTCCCTGCCACTTTGAATTTTTTTTTAAAGCACCATGTTCTGCTAGATGCCACTTTAAATTCTATCCTCTCTTTTCATGAAGTACAAATCATAATAGCATATAGTAGAAACTAAAATATACTCTGTACACACTTATTTTTAATATGTTTGTGAATAAAATACCTTAAAAGAAAAAGGGCTTCCTGCTTATATTCAGGGGCAATAAGAAAAACGGAAAGTAAGAAAAGGAAATCAAGAAATAAAGTTAGTAGTGGCACTTTTTAAAACATCAAGTATTTGGATCTATAAAATAAAAAGAAAGGGACACAGATTTGTATTACATATTTTAAAAGTTATCTCAATATTGCTCAAAATTAAAACACAAAATAATATATGCATGAAATACAGATATGTTTTAGACAAAAAAAGCTTATACTTTTCACATGATAAACCTTACCAATGCAAGAAGAGTTTTTTCTAACTTTAATCCCATCTCTGTTCTGAATGGGAAGAATCCCATTAAGCTGGTGACTTCATGAAGAGTATAAAATTCTGGATACCTTTTCACTTGTTCAATGCAAGCTTTTAAAATTTGCTAAAAAATAAAGAAAAACCTTACCAATGCAAGAAGAGTTTTTTCTAACTTTAATCCCATCTCTGTTCTGAATGGGAAGAATCCCATTAAGCTGGTGACTTCATGAAGAGTATAAAATTCTGGATACCTTTTCACTTGTTCAATGCAAGCTTTTAAAATTTGCTAAAAAACAAAGAAAAATTCATTTGTATTGTACTTCCCTTATAAGGCAAAAAAATTTTAGTTACATGTGACTATATAATTATTTATTGCAAAAATTAGCTTCATTTCATCAATCAAGCTTCTAACAATACATATGTTGTATATTCCTTACTTAATCTATTTTCATAACAATTTTTAACCTAATTTCTTTAAATACTGATATTTAATAATATTAAAATTAGCACTCTCATAATTTGAAATTAAATAGAGAAGACACATCATATCATATTTTCTATGCTACTTAAGAAATTGTCAAAGAAAGTCCTATGAAAATTTCAACACATTTTACTGAAATAAAAGCTGTTATATGAATGATTAGAAATAAGTTTAATACTCTAAAAGGATTCCCAAGACCAATGAATTAAGTAAGTAGTTATCTTACAGGTCTTTCTAATCTACAATCAAAAAATAATTGAGAGATGTTGAAACTAATTCAAATGATGGTGTACTTAGTATTTTATTCTCTACAAACTCTTAAAAATATTAATAATTTATCAGGAAATATAATCGGTAAGGAAATAAAATTCACAGCTTTACCCAAGAAGAGTATGTGCCACTTGTGATAATATGTAAATAACTCTGAGACACACAGTTGTGTTGGTGGTGGGGAGATGAGATGTTTATAATTAAAATACACACATATATTATCTTCTAAAATACATTATTTTTTCATCTGTCAACAAACCTTATCTGAATCATTTAGAATATATTTTATATCACAAAAGCTCTTAGCAATATCTTTATCATATGTCTATATCCCCTCTACCTTCAGACATTTGTAAAATGTGTGACATTACAAAACAATAGCTTTACTCCAGTATATCTTTTCATGTGTAGTTTCATAACCCCTTTTCCAATTTTTCAATGGTAGAGTAGATACACTGAAGAACCCTCCTATTCAAATAAAACTAGATCCTGGATAAAGTATAATATAACAATTTTTATGCATTGCTGGGGTTGGTGAAGAGCTAAGAAAATCTCCAAGAACCATAAATCAATAAATATACCTCAAACACACAGAGAAACAGGGGCAGTGAGCAGTAAGAAAACCCATGAAAGGTGAGGTGGCTCGAGGGCAAATGCTTCATTCAACCAGTTCTAAGATCTAGGTGGAGCTGAACATGAGACTTCTACATTTAAGCCTTGAAAAGTAGGGATTTGAACAGATATACATACACTCAAATGCTTAGCGGCATTATTTACAACAGCTAAAAGGTGGAAGCTACCCAAGTGTCCATTAATAGATGAACAGGGGCTGGGCACGATGGCTCATGCCTGTAATCCTAGCATTCCGGGAGGCTGAGGAGGGAGGATTGCTTGTGCTCAGTTCAAGGAGCTCTTGCCTGAGCAAGAGCGAGACCCCATCTCTGCTAAAAATAGAAAAATTAGCAGGGCATCATGGTATGTGCCTGTAAGTCCCAGCTACTTGGCAGGCAGAGGCAGGAGGATCCTTTGAGCCTAGAATTTGAGGTTACAGTGAGCTATGATGATGCCACTTCACTCTACCCAGTGCGACAGAGTAAGACTCTGTCTCAAAAAAAAA